ACGTCTGACCAAGGAACACGCGTAATGGTAGGTGATGAATACCAGTAATGACAGCTAGCAAAAGTATCTTTATTTTTGACCACCAGATACCTGCACCGAACTTGTCATTAATTATTATCAAAGATTGTTACCAAACAGTTTGGAGACAGTGGAAGAAATAAGCTATTTGATTCTTACCGTCCAGAGCAACTGTGTGGGAGATAATCAGTCACTAAGGGCTTAGTTATCTCTGGTCAGAATTAAAGAGGTGAGGTACCACAGCATAGTAATAAAGCACAGGAAATACTGGAATCTGCCGTGCCCAGGGCAGCGGTGTGTGACTACCCGTTGTCACCAGGGAGGCACAAATCCTAGCAGGGCAGGCACCGGGGGAGCGTGGGGAAGGCGCAGGGGAAGCCCGGGCAGGGCGCACACCGCCCTCCCTCCACGCCGCCTCCTCGGGGGCTTCTCCTCGGACCTGCTCCGGCTAAAGCGAGGCGGCGCGGCGAGCGAGGGGGGCTGCGGCGGGCAGGTTGCCGGGTTACCGAGCGGGTTAGGGCAGCGCCGCCCGGCTCCCTCAGCCCTGCCCGGCCTCCCGAGTCCCAGCCCCGGCCCCCTCAGCCCCGGCCGGTCCCCTCAGCACCGGCCCCCTCATGCCGCCCGGCCGCTTCACCGCCGGCCCTGGCAGCGGGGCTGTGGTGCGGGGCCCCTGCTTAGGTCCGTGTCTGAACCTGCTGCCCGGCACCGAAATCGAGCCAGCAGCGCGGTGTACCCCTGCCCATGCTGAAACATGTCTGCCAGCGAGCACCTCCGGCGAGGTGGATTGTTCCACTAAACCAGACCGAGTAATGCAAGCCACAACTCCCTTGCACCCCCTTCCCCTGCTGAAACCTTGCTGAGAGAAATAAATAAATTTGAATCACATTGTGCGTAACTGATACCAAAAACGCCACCAAAAACAAGCTAGAGGAGACCCTAGGTACCTAGGGGTGTGAGCACAGGAGGCCGCTGCTTGTTCCCTTAGCCAGGAACCAACAGTGATGGCCTAGGCAAAGAGTGAGTCAAACCTTGCAATGCCTGGAGAGAGCTAAGCCACCAAAATTCAGTGAACCCATTTCTTTTTAAACTGCTACATAGCAAGAAATGAGATGCTGAGGCTGGCACAGAAGGACTCTGGAAAATGCAATTTATGCCTTTCCTTTGACAGAGCTGTTATAAATATTCATAATATTTGCAATTTTGGAAAGAGCGGTTGTTTTGGCACACAGTTTGGAATAGGAGACTAACTTCCAGGCAGTTCTCTGGACAAAACTGGAGCTGTGTTACTGCTCTGTTGCAGAACGTGTTTCCGTTACCCCAAGCCCACTCCACTGCAAAGTTTTCAGGAGATTCAGAGTGTGGCTGGAGTATTAATTAAAAAGAAATGCCTAAGTAATTGATGGCGGGTTTCAGTGAATGAGCTGAAGGAAATGAAACATGGGGTTTCACCATCAATGGCAAAATATTGCCATGGCAATGGGTAGCTTTGCCAGGAATAAACAAACAACAACAGGCCTCTTCTCTTTCAGAAAAAAAAGTTAGAGAATTTTCTGTTCTCACCTCACCAAAGTCTGTGCCTTTGGACATCTCAGATGGAGGAGATGGTGTACCCTACTTAAACAAGCCCCACAAGTCCAGCTTCTTTCCCAGTCGTCCAATTAGATCATTTCCAGAGCAAGAAGTAACCTTTATACCCAGGGGAAGGCACTGACATTTGCTTTACAATGATTTCAGTGCTTTGGTTACTGTAATTCTGTACCATCTCCTTATAGAAAGAAGGTGGAAGGGCTCAGAAGTAACACAGCTCTGTGTCATTCGTAGTTGAAGTCAATCCTGCTTCAGGAGAGACTGCTGACAGGGAAGATTTTCTTAAGAGTAGAAACACGGCCCTCCACTTAAATTAATAAAGAGCTTTACAAAAACACAGCACAGAGAGCGAGGGAGCTGGGAAAGCATGAGCTGCCCTTTCTTCTGCAGGTGGGGAGCGTGCACAGGCACTGGAGTCCTCTCCCAGCAGGCCTCTGGAGGTGTCCCTTTGCCTCTGAAAGCTTTCTCAATGTTTCTGGCCATCCCCTATCCCTCAGATGATGCAGTCCCACCACACAGCATGAGCTCTGTGGGTCTCGTCTCATAATGGGGAGACAGACCTAGGTCACTGTCCAGGCAAGGATTCAGCAATGCTGGCATCCTGCCTAGTATCTATGAGCTGAGTTTCTTGTAGTTTTTTAGCCTGTTGCTCCCTCTTGCTATCTTTGACCCATAGTGTATGAAATTCCTGCTAGACAGCCATAGCTGGGTATGCACTAGGGCCTTGCTGGCACTCTTCCTGAGGAAGACAGACATGGCCCAGTGTTGGTCTTGAGAGTCGATGGCCTGTAGAGCAGAAGCAATGGGCCAGAGCCAGGTGGCCTTGTAGAATCAAAGGAGGAGTGAGCAGAATCAGAGAATCATAGAATGGTTAGAGTTGGAAGGGACTTTAAAAATCATCCAATTCCAACCTCCTGCCACAGACAGGGACACATTCCACTAGGGCAGATTGCTCTAAGCCACATCCAGCCTGGCCTTGAACACTGCCAGGGATGAGGCATCCACAACTTCTCTGAGCAACCTGTTCCAATGCCTCACCACCCTCATAGTAAATAATTTCTTCCTAATATCTGCCTTCCTAAACCTACTGTCAAGAGGGATCTCCTTATCAGGAGATCAAGTATCTTCTGGTGAGGAGACAGTACCTATGTGAAGGAGCCTATAGTGAGCATGACTGTATTAAACTCCTGCACCACAGAGTCGACCCTAGTAGGCTTTGTGATTTGTGTAACATAAACAGTGCTGCTGCCACTGTGGGGAAGTGTCAAGATCTGTTAAAGTTTGCAAAACTCTTCTAATAGCAATTCTATATCAGAAAAAAAAAAAAAAAATCCCATATGGCTTTCCAGCTCTTTGGCATTCATTAGTTTTGTCTTACCATTCTTTATGTAATAATACTTAGGTGCTGCTTAAGTTCCGTATAAAATATTAAATGTAGTTTACTGTAAAGTCATCAGGCTGAGGAATGTTTCTTACAGTGTTCATGCAGCACCTAGCACTGATTTCAACGGCAGCCTCCAGGCAGTATTATGAAGGTTCATTATACCATCAAGATCTGTCCCTACCCTTTCACTCTTCAAGGAAGGTCCATTCTTAACTACAGGTTTGGTGTTTAGATAACAAGTTTCTTTTTTTTTTTTCTTCCTTCCATCTAAAATGATCAAACTAGTCCCAAGCAAATACATTTTTTTAACTTGAACTTTTAATTAATGTCCATTTTGATCCACTTTATTTAACCAGCTCAGAAAACATGTAACACATAAAAATGGTTCTTTTTCTAAAAAATAAATTAAAAAAAAAAAAGGAAAATTTAAAAAAAGGCAGTTGGGGTCTATTTTGCATGAGAAAATATTTTGTTTAGGAATGAGAGTTGTAGGCATTCTCTCATACATTGTAATATTTTCCATGTGTGGCAGCTTGTTTTTCAGTGGCACAAATATGTGCAATAAGGGCTAAGAGTAAGAATTAATCTAACAGCTTTTGCAGCAAGGCTTTTGATGGTTTCACTCGATTTCATTTTCCTGTGGATACTGCCGTCAGTTCTGCTGCTTGCAATATGTGAAGCATAATTCTCAGAGGTTCACGAGGTTGTAGGGATCCAGTAGGAGATGACTGATTTCTCCCCCCACACACATTCACTCCACCCCACACCCCCTCACCCACCCACCAGCAAAACATAATGCTGTACTATTTTTGGCAGCAGGGAAAGGGCCTCCTTGTGAAAACAGAAAGCAGTGTATTTCTCAGTTACATCACTTTGCAATCTAATGCCGTGTTGTGCTCAGTGTTTTTGTGGTGATGCAAGTCTTTTTTTTTTTTTCTTTTTTTTTTTTTTCCTCCCTTCAGCCGGTTGGATTTTCCCCATCTTACAGCACCTCGCAGGTCTCTTCTCTGAGCAGTACATTGCCTGAGTGAATGGAAACATACAGATCAGCTGCAGGTTTCTGACTACAAAAACAGAGTGAAAGAGAAAGAAAAGGGTTGGGAAAGCTGAGACAAATATTGACCTGGACTTACAGAAAGACATCCAATGGCTGAATAAAGAACCCCTGTTCATGTTTTGGGATATTCTTTCAACTGACTGGAACGAGAGCGGATCAAAAGAATGGGAAATGCCAGCAGACCCTTTAGAAGAATTGCTTATTTCTTATGCCTTTTATCTGTGCTTTTGCTGACTGAAGGGAAGAAACCAGTGAAGCCAAAATGTCCTGCCTGGTGTACTTGTACCAAAGATAATGCTTTATGTGAAAATGCCAGATCTATTCCTCGCAGCGTTCCGCCTGATGTTATCTCACTGTAAGGGCTGTAAGCATTTGGTTATTTAATTTATGATTTAAAATGAACTGGGATGTGTGGTGTTTTCAGTGCATACGGAAGGATGCTTGCTGCAGGGAGTACCTCCAGTATTCAGAATCATCAGCTAATGTGTTAAAATTGTGCTTCATCCTTGAATCCTCATTTTTACATCTCTTTCATCTGTCTGTCTGTCTGTGTATGTGCACACATCCCATTTTATACCTTCTTCTATACTACATGAAACCTGTAACATTCTTTTTTTTTGGTTGTTTTTTCTTTTTTTTTACTTACATAAATAAATTTCTCTGTGATGACCAGATCATTATTATAACCATGGATATATAAGACTACATTAATATAAGGTTGTTTTTTTTTTCTTTCCAGATCCTTTGTGAGATCTGCTTTTACTAAAATCCCAGAAGGGAGTTTTTTGCTCACACCATCTCTGCAGCTTCTGTGAGAAATATTTATATGATACAATTTTTGTTATGAAATGTATATGTATCCATAAATATTTTAGAAGGGGTCTTAAGTGTTAATTTTATAAGAGTCTCAGTGTTACTTTTATAAGAAACAGCAAGAGAAGATTCATTAGATGTCAAAATACAAGACTTCTTAGCAATTTGAAGGATAGTGCATGTTTAATTTTTTCAAAGTGTATCTACTTTGTATTTTGCAAGGCTATCTGTTGTCAGTGCTACTTTGAATGATTACATGCTGAAGCTTTTGGTGACAGAACGTATGCTATCCTCATTATACTTTAATTAACATTACAGCAGGGACTTCAGCATTGCAACAACTATTCATGTTCCTTTTCTGCAGTCCGGGGGCCTGATCCCAATATAAAGCTGCCCATTTGCAACTCCCTCTGACTATGAGTTCTGAAACCCTCAGATCAGACCCTTCATTGCAGTGGCACAGGTCCTGAAGTCCTTTTCCATGTAAAATTACCATTGACTTCTGTGGAAGTTTAGTCACTTCAGTGTGAGTTTTGCCTTCATCGCGCTTGGATTTGACCCTTTTTGTTATTTCATGTTCTTTGAAAAAAGAAAAAAAAAAGTAATGGAAATTTTCCTCCAATTCGAAAAGAAATAAATTAAGCAGTTATTTCAAAATCAAATACTGCAGTGAGGTATATGCAGAGAGAGAATATTTTGGGATGTTTACTAGATGCATTTCTATATAGGATTTTTACAGGCTTACAGGCTTTCCTGGAAATTTGGGCATAGGATTATGTAATTGTGAGCTATAGAGAAGTAGAGGGGGTGTAACCTGAACTGTTTATAGTGGATGTGCTGCCAGCCTGACACACACCCAGATTTGTCTCAGAAATCCGGCAGGACAGACTCCCTGATGTGATCAAAACCAAAATCAGATGTCTGTCCCGGACCGACTTCCCGTGCACTCTGTATGTGGTCAGAGGTGTAATGTTGATGTATTAGAGCCTATGTCTGTTGGATTAAACTGCTGGCGCACCGATAGCTGAAGCCCTGACCCTAGCTGTACTCTGCTACCTCAAGTGGAGCTGATAAGGAGGTGCAGACGTACTGTACAATTTTGGATACAGGGTAAATAGGTAAATGCAGTTACTATGGAAACCTAAATGCTTTTCTACAGTGCTTTATTCTGGAGAAGCTTTTCCCAGGTGGTCACAGATCACAAAAAGGACACATTTCACATAATTCTGCAATAGGCCTTTCAAAGGAAGGAAAACTGAAATAGCAGTGTTTGTGAAGCTTGTATCAGAAAAGTGTGAGTAGGACATCATCTCTCTTGGCTACGATACGCCACCTACACAACGATCCCGCTGCCAGGGAGGCAGAATTGGGTAGGGTGGAGTAGGACAGACACAGTCATCTTATTTTGAGTTATAGTGCCTGGCATAGTGGGGTCTGGCAACGGCTTATGGCATTTTGGTAATGGTAATAATTTGCATGGTCTGCCGTACACTGAAATGCATGTTCTAAGCTGATGTTAATAAATGCTGCAACAAAAGCTCTGACCTCAGAAGAGCTGGTTTTGTTCCATTATGGTCTTCAACGAGTGATCTGTTTTCCAGATATATTTCTAACATGGTAGCTGAGCTGCTTGCCATTTTTGAGAAGTCAGACTGCTGATCTGAGGCAAACTCCTTAAACACAGACCACAGGAGGCAGGATTGTATCTGTGGGGTCAATACTCCTGTTTGTACATGGGAAAGGAAAATTTCCACCTTTGGCAGAAGATAGTAATGGAAATAAGAGTACGGAAAATTCAGGCTAATTAGAAATTACAGTAAGTTTTAGCTTTGCATGATTATAGCTGTATCAGTAGGTTTAATTTAGCCAATAGCAAGATTGAGCAGCCTATATTTCTATGTAATAGTCTCCAGCATTACATTTTTGCAGCCCAAATGTGAGCTGGTATCTCCAGTATGACATTCACACATTTCTGAGTGTGAAATATATCTGCTGCTATTATTATTTACTACTATTTTTACTGTAGTAGTGGCAATGGTCTCTGAAAAAATCATGGTCTCGTGCTAAACACTATGCGAAGTCCCAGGCCAGGAGAGCTTCTTGAATAGTATGGATGGTATGCTCTGTGCTCTTCATATGACAACAAAAATACAAGGGACCTACAAGTGCCAGCAGGAGTGTTCCCTAAATGCAGAGAAAATATCCCTGCTCTCATCTCCAGCAGTCGTTAACTGTGTATCAGCAACGTGCTGAGGTTGCTTTTATAAACTGATGACATGAAAGCCCACAGAAAGAAAGGAGGTAGTCATGGCATCTGCTAGCAGCGGACAGTTCCTGCTAAGTAGTATAGTCCCTAGATACAGTGCAGTATCTTCAGCCTCTATCCCAGAAATAGCTAGCTGATGGGTCATGCAAACTAGTGTCTGAGGTCAGTGACTCGGGGAAAAGCCACTTTGTGCATCACATATGTATGATACAGACACTGGGGAGAGGTATGAGATGGGAGGCAAATGAGATCACGAAGTGCAAGACCTGTTCTATAAACCTGGCAATCCCTAAAATAGCTATACTGTTTAAAGAGATACCACCATGTTCTTTAGGAGGGTAGAGTGCAGAAAAGGAAAAATTATCCAGTGAAATCACATCAGAAAAGTAAAATTAGTTACAGGCAGCAGATTTACTAAATTGGTCTTCTGATTCAGAGATTTTACAAAAATACTAATTTTCTTGAAGGAAGACAAGTATTTATTGTTTCTAACAAAAAAAAAAAAAAAAAGGAAGATTTTCCTGCTTATATTTTTCACACATATAAAATTACATATTTAAAGTGGAAAAAGCACAGTCTGCAATAGCTAAGTGAGAAAACAAATCAACTGCAATTTATTCTTAATGCAAATTTCAGAATAAGAGATGAAGTGTCTTATTAATTGTATTAATTCATACTTGCAAATCTTGCATTCCTCAATGCCTAAAGATGTCACAGGGTAAATTTATTTATCCATCAGGTCTAATTGAATAATATATAGATGTACATCTAGTATTCCACTGGGCAAAGTTCATTGTACTTGACAACGCTCAACATATTAAGGGTGTGGCAGTCCAAAGCTGAATTAAAATGGGCAAATTCAAACATGGCTGATAAGCATAAATAAAGCTGCAAAAAATCAATGTTGTTCCACTTTTAATGCTTACAAAATTACATAAAATTAAATGTGTTGCTGCTATTTTTATTGCTAGATGGATGAAAAATATATGCACACACTAAGAACTATCTCCAGTTGGTATAATGTGGTCTTAAAAATAGTTCTGATTTGAACACTGATTAAATTAAGAGATTTTCTATTTGTTTCTCAGTAACTTTTTAGTACCCTCAGGTCAAACATGCTCACAAGTTCAACTCAGAAGTTAAGGGATTTTCCTGCCTGTCAGTGATGCTAATTCAACCTGATGTCTGGCTAGCCAGCTGGATACGTTCCCTATGTTGTCATCAAAAATAAGGGTTCTTCAAGACAATTTTGACCTCTGTAGTACTTGAACATTTCATTGTCGACCAAGTATGTCTCCAGCGGCACTTGTACGATCCCATTGTTTTACTGGCATGATAAACCCACATTTGCATCCCACAGAAGTCAATGGAATTTTATCAGATTGCTCCAGCAGGCAAAGCAACAAGTTGCTAGGCTTGTTGCCCCTTTGACCCAGACTATGGGGCAAAATATCAGCCATACAGCCTGGTAGTGCTTGCACAGAAAAAAACATGAAACCAGGCAGTGGAAATCTGGCCTACCATGGTTTGCTGAACTCTAAAGATGCTAATAACCTAATGGTCTTTTGCATCTCTTTATGCAGGTTGTTTACGTCCAACACTTTTGATGTTATTAGTGATGATGCTTTCATGGGCCTTCCTCATCTAGAATATTTGTGAGTGGACAAATGTATATTTCCTGGTATTATTGAATAGAGGGGGTGGGCTTTCAAGTTCCAGGCATTGCTTTGACCAGAATGACTTTACAACCCGTTACAGGTTCATAGAGAACAACAGCATTAAGTCAATTTCAAGAAATACTTTCAGAGGACTGAAATCTTTAATTCACCTGTAAGTAAAGTGGTTGAATATATTACTTGGTATTTTTAATATAGTAACTGAACCACTGTGTTGCTGAATTTCACATTTGGATATATAGCTATTTACATTTGTTTAAGCAGTATTAATAGTAACTTAATTAGAATGTTAATCTTTGTGTTTCCACGAAAGACTCCCAAACTTTTGGTATTTGTAGAAGGTCAGGACCCAAAGAGCTTCCAAGAAGTATGTTTGGCAGTAGCTCCCTTTCTCTGCTCAGAGCACTGGGGATTTCTACCTGAGTATGTAGGAACAGGTAGAAAGCAGAATGTGTCAGGGCTTGGCACTGGTGAAGGGAGTCCCAGTTTGGGAACTTGGAGAGCAGGAAGGTGGGAGCTGTGGTCAGCACTGAAGTGCCACAGTGGTGACATGCTGAAGGATGGACACGTGCCTCTTCCCAGGTACCCAAGTCTGGCATGAATCCAAGAGCATGTGACAGTCATTCCTGGGGGCAGGCCATCAATGTCTGTACCCATGTCCACTTCAGCCACCACTAAGTGTATCCAGCAGAATTTGACCAAATAAAATTTGAAATTTCCCACCCTTTTAAACAGAAGGGTTGCAGCAAGATGCATTTATTACAACTTACTGGTACACTTCTTCCACTTAACTGTGTGGCATAGCAGCTTTTAGACTCCAGCAGGATTGGCTTCAAAGCCCTGCTCTGCACCCTGTTCTCTCCTGCACATGAGCAAGAGCATCTCATGGTCAGGATCTGTCATGCACTGACACAAGGAACTTCTTAACATTCTTCATGTTGCTGCTCAGCCTTTCAGCTGGCCTAGAAACATGCCTAACCCTTGCCCTCTGATATGCTGCAGCCCCCCTGCTGCATTAGCCAAGAGGGGAAATTAGTCAAAGGCACTCTGGATGCTAATGTGGCTGTTCAGAGCAATGCTTCCCAAGCTCACACCAGCGGAGGCACTTCTCATGCTGTGCTCAGCAGGTGAAACTGCACATTCTCAACAAATACCTGTAACATTCCACTGCAAACACAGGAAGCATCCTCATGCTTCTGTCTCTTATTTCACATTCAGTTTATCTTTTAGCAATAATTTTATTTTAGCAAGCAATAAATTTATTGAAAATACAATATGTACTGTAAGAAAACATAAAAAATTACAAGAGTACTGTAAGAAAAAGGAGGCTGAAACCTCTGGGGTGTGCCTGACATGGGTTTGTACCTAGCTCTGAGCATTTGCATTCTGAAGCATACATCTTGGGGGGTGTGTCAGAGGCAGGGGAGTGGATTCTGACCTTTTGGCCTTAACCCAATAACCTCCAAGAGTGTTTTGAAACAGGACCATTTAACTTTTTCTTTCATATATTTTGACACAGGACAGAAAGCAAAGGTTCCATTTTAAATAGTTAATGCATAAATATAATAGTTGAATTGTAGTTCACCACGTGCTTCACTACATAGTAAATATACCATAAAACACTTTACTCTTCCCTTTTTAGTCAGGACAAGACTCAGAGGTGTGAGCCCAAGCCTACTATGACTACTCGTGTAGATAAAGTTACTTATAGAATGCCCCTGTGTCTGAGGAAGAGAAAAGAGAGAGGGGAGGTAAAAAGGTATATAAACAGGCTCGGCACATCCTGTAAAAATCCATATTAGAGGTATAGGCATACTTACAGTACTATTAGAAAAGGCAGATAATTGGATAAAGCTGGTAACTGGGACCCTATCTTCAAAATATTTATGCACATGAATAGCTTTATATTCACAAATGGGTTCAGTACATTATTTATCATATTCATTTATTTATTTAGTAGCTGTTGCTGCCAGGGAGCAAATTGCTTTCCTAACACAGAGGAAGGCACAGTTTCTTTTATCAGAGCATAGATTCCAAGAGTAACATCTTGTCTTGCCTGTTATATTGGATTCTGGGGATGCTTCAGCAGTTTCATAAGAGAAACAAATGCAAAAGCTAGAACCACAAGTGAGGAGCCACTGGGGTTTGCATGTGGTTGCATGCACATTTTTGGGACACAGATTTGTGCATCATGCTGCTATTGCACATAGAGTGCTATTCATGAAGACAATGAGAAATTTGCAGAAAATAACTGCAAAAGCAGGTCCATTAACCACAGAATGTGACTAGTTTAATCTGCTTGCAGAACCACTCCCCACCCTTTGGGGGAAATTGCACATACACATTAAGAATAATCATTTGGCACCCTGAGGCATTTCTCATTTGAGAAACAGCAGAGTACTTGTGTACATAAAATATATCAAAAAGAACCACAGTAAATAAGCATACAAATGAGTTACATGAAGTTAGAGATGAACTTTGTTCTATTTATTCTGTTAACTTCCTTTTGGCAACATAACTTTTGCAATGCAATAAGCTATCCAAACATTTGTATTTTTATAATGCAATTGATTTTGATAATTATAGTGTGCCCTTACTGTAAAACAGAACCATCTAGTATTTATCATTCTGCAACACAACTCAGTTTCTGCTCGGAGTATATTAAAGGATAGAAAAAAAAAAAAAAGCTTATTTCTTTTACTAATTTATCATTTAATGTAAAAATCTTAGCATTGGACAGTAATTTCTATGCACAATATGTAATTTTGATTGCACTTCTTTCAGAACTGCAGCCATAAGTTTAACTGCATGTTTGATTCAATCTTTACTCTTTTATTATAAGCCAAATACCACATACAGCACCATCTACAGAAGCCAGTGTTTCGTAATATATAAGTATGCTTTTTAACAGTGGAATATAAAATGAGTAATTTTCATCCAAAAATCGGCAAATGCACAAACCTTGTGTAAATTTTTCTGTCAGTCACATTCCCACGGCAGTGGTGAACTGCTGCTACTTCCAAGTCTACCATCTCTTTCAGTTTGTTGTATGATAATTAATATATAAATAACATATAGGGCATTAAACCTGCCTCAGCTTGCACATCTGCTCGGCTTTTTCCATATGAGTTACCTGACTTTTAAAGAATTGCTCCTGAGTGTAAAATTAAGCATAAGTGAAGCACATGATACGTACAGCAAAGTGTTACAATCAGATGTACTTTGAAAGCAGTGAAGTCAGAATGGACTAATGGCATCATCCTGTATTTACCATTCCTGATATGACAAACAATATTAGATGAGGCAGCAGACCTAGTATATGTGGGCCTGTTCTAGAAATTAGTATATGCCTAAGTGGCTTTGCATGGTGAGATAAATTGTAGTTAATAAATAACTTCTATGTTTACAAGCGACAACAGAAGAAGTTGTTAAGTCTTAGTAGCTACAGATTCTAACTGGGATCTTAAACCAGAATGATTTCTATTTTCATTTCTTCTTGTAAGTAATAAATAATACTGTTACTCAAAAGAGCTCTCAGCTATAACCTACGTGACTCTTTTCCTGTCATGCCCCCAGTGACATCTTGGAGAACTCAGACCTTTAGTGGATTCACAGAGACATGTCTGGGTGAAGTGTAATATATTGCTTGTTCAAAGCCTGTTCACATTTTCTCATCACTTTTAGTAGCTAGAATACTCACTGAATTTAGGCAAGGTTTCCCAACATTAAAAACTGTGAATTAACAGCAGGTTTTTGCTGGTCTTATACACACATACTCACACACACACATGCACATTCCAGGAAAGAAATGAATGCTGATCAGCAATTTCTTGTCTATTAATGCATAGTTCCAAAAACTATGAACTAAACTTAAATCCACTGAATGAAACCTAGTATTAAGATTTCCCTTCCAGAAGAGATACAAGAAAGTGGGGAAATTGTAGTAATATGAACACCATGTATTGGTATCTCATAAGGAAAACATCAGTAGATCCAATCATGACTAATCGTTTTAAAACAATGGTGTTGGCAAAACACCAGAGGTGATTACACCTTTTACCCTGCTAAGTGAAGTTATTGTAAATGCTGCAAGGCTGCTGAAGAGTGAGAACACAGGAGGCATGGCATTTTAGTGGAAGTCACAAAGTAAATGAGCTGTTCTTAAAAGCAATCTTTTAGAACTAAGTGCTAGAGAATACCAGGGTTCTTTACCTTAAGAAAGAAACCCTATTACACCCTGCAAAAATGTGTAATTTAATGAATTAGCACTGATACTGAAATATCTTTTTTTACAGGAGTCTCGCAAATAATAACCTCCAGTCGCTTCCAAAAGACATATTCAAAGGCTTGGATTCTTTAACAAATGTGTAAGAAAGCAATTAATTAATCTATTAATTATACTAAAAATATAATGAGATTCTTTTAGAGGACATTCTGAGTAACCATTCAAACTGACAGCCAGAAATGGGATCCACTGGGTAGACTTCCCAATATGGGTAGGCTTGGGTTTTGTCTACTGTTGTTGATAATTTGCTTTAGTTTTGAACATTCCACCAGTTATGAAGATAAGTAATATTGTTAGTAGTTGTGTAAGACAGATGCATGTTTATTTAGACTTGGTGAATAAGAAGGAAGTATCCTTAGGGATGCATGAGAGAGCATGGCATGAGGGGAAGGTGGAAGGTATTTAATGGAGTAACATTTCTATGTGCAAGCAATTTCTGGGATGGCAATCTTTTATCATGAATGCATGTGTCTTAGTAAGTACCATCCCATACTAAATTGAATTGCAATCAAACCAAAACGTGAACTTCTAAAAATATGTAACTTAAATACCAGTAAAAATACAAAATATGAACAGATAAATCTGTAGCTGCTTCACTGAAATATGTCCTGTTTACAACACACCAATTCTGGTTCACCTGATGTGGGATAATGAGCACAGAACGTCCTTTGCCTGCTCCCTGTGTTATCAAGGTAGGCTGAATTCACAGTGTAGACCTGCAGCAGTAAGATGTGGAGATGGTCAGTGTTATCTGGTAGCATTACTTGGCAAGACTGATCGTGGCCAGGTGGTTGCACAGTCTGGTCCTGGCACTTGCTTGTTCCTGTACATACAATCTGAAATATGACTGAAGACAGCTGTAAGTCTTGAACAGAACACCTTTGCTTGTGTCTCCTGAAGCCCTAAATGAGTACATCTAAAGGATATACCAAATACTGACTGGCTGACTGTCAGGCTGTATTAATTCCAACTTTGTTATCTAGAATGATCTTACTGAGAAAGGGTAATCCAAAAGAAACAACCTCCCAAATATGGGGCCAACAATTAGGTAAGCTTTTGTGTACCTGTAAACTTGGAGAAATCAACAAAAATTTCCAACTGATCAAGTTAAGTTCTTTGTGATAACCTTAGTATAATTAAGTCTGTGTGGGTTCTGGCATGTAGATTTAACTATGGGTCTGGACAAATTAGGTCAGGAAGGCAACAACTGAGAATAAGCAAGAGGGCACATATTTAACAAGAGCTTAGTTTGTTGATGTCCTACAAGGAGGAATACATCAGCTAAGTACTTATTTTCAATGCATGATTTATTTATTGTAGAGATCTTAGAGGCAATGCATTTAATTGTGACTGCAAACTGAAATGGTTAGTGGAATGGCTGGGCAGCACCAATGCAACAGTTGAAGACATTTACTGTGAAAGTCCACCAGAATATAAGAAGCGCAAAATCAATAGCCTCTCTCCAAAAGAATTTGATTGCATTATTACAGGTAATGTGCTTCAAATTATTTAATCTTGTTAAATTAAAGTCAAAGCTATATTTTTTTTTTACACTAAGGTCCATTTTTGCAAGAAGTCTGCATAATGGATGGAACTTCCGCTAAAATCAGTATGAATTCTGTGAAGGTATAAGTCTGACTTCCAAATCACTTGGGAGTGGGGTCTGATATTGCAGGTTCTACTCAAGACTTTAATATGCTATATAAAGATTTGGAGAACTGGGACATAAAACAGCACCTCTTTGAGAAATATCTGAAAACAAATTGCAGTGTTCCCTTATCGACAGGAAAATCAAACTAGTGATGAAATACTGTAATTTGTAATAAAATGGTATCTGCTAAGGAGATGTTTTTTCAGCACAGTATGGAAAGGATCTGTAATTACATGTTGTGTGCACTTTTGCAGAATTTGAAGTTTATCAGTCCCTGCCATACCAGTCTCTGTCAGTAGATACTTTCTCATACATGAATGATGAACACGTGGTTATTGCTCAGCCTTTTACTGGAAAATGCATCTTTCTTGAGTGGGACCATGTAGAAGTGATGTTCAGGAATTATGACAACATTACAGGTATGAGCACTGCTCAAGAAATAACATTACAACAGCTGATCCAAGAAGTGGTGCTAACCCTGTCTTTTATTTTTCTTTTTACAGGTACTTCAACTGTTGTGTGTAAACCTATAGTTATTGAGAGTCAGCTGTATGTCATTGTCGCACAGCTGTTTGGAGGCTCCCACATATATAAAAGAGATATTTTTGCTAATAAGTTTATAAAAATTCAAGATATTGAAATCCTTAAAATCCGAAAACCCAATGACATTGAAACTTTCAGGATTGCTGAAGACTGGTATTTTGTTGTTGCAGACAGTTCAAAGGCTGGTTTCACCACGGTTTACAAATGGAATGGGAATGGATTTTATTCCCATCAGTCTCTGCATGCCTGGTACAGAGATACTGATGTGGAGTATCTTGAAATATCTGGCAAACCACATTTAATTCTGTCAAGTAGTTCTCAAAGACCTGTAATATATCAGTGGAACAAAGGAACAAATGAATTTGTTAAGCGTTTTGATATCCAAGATATGGAAGATGCATATGCAGTGAAACATTTCAAAGTGAAAGAGGATGTATACATTTGCTTAACAAGATTTATTGGGGACTCTAAAGTAATGAAATGGGGTGGTTCAGCATTTTTGGATTTACAAAGGATGCCATCCCGAGGGTCCATGGTATTCCAACCGCTTCAGATAAGTAATTACCAATATGCCATTCTTGGAAGTGATTATTCTTTCACTCAAGTCTATTATTGGGATGCTGAAAAGGCAAAATTTGTGAAGTTTCAAGAATTAAACGTACAGGCACCGAGATCTTTCATACATGTCTCCATCGATAAACGAGATTTTCTCTTTGCTTCAAGTTTTAAGGGAACTACATTGATTTATAAACATGTCATAGTTGACTTAAGCGCATGACACTCATAATTCTGAGATTACATCAGACTTTCTACCATAAGTGGACAAAATGAACTAAGTGCATGATGACTCTCTTATCTTACTTCCAAATGAATGCCTTTAAAAGTTGCGATTGCTAGAACCAAGTATTACTAGTATCTTCATCTCTAATTGTCTAGTGGTGTTGGAAGTTGCATTTTTTAACAAAAAGAAATTAAATTAACTGTTCTTTGCATCCACAGTATGTAAATATGTGTGCAACTGCATCTGTTGCTATAAAAAATATTAAGATGTACTTTTCCATTTATTTATTCACCTGTTTGAAACAACTGCCAAATAAAATGTTTACATTTTGTGTCTTTCACATTCCAAATATTATTTGCAGGTGATACCTTTTATTTGTGTATTTAATATACACATATAAAATAAAGCCAAGAAGGCATATTGCCCAACGCAGTATTGTACTGCATGGAAGACACACAATATTGAAAATCAGGTGGGTGTTACATATACCAAGAAGTTCTTGATAAAAATACAGCATTGAACCTCGATCCTATAAATTATCGCCTGGACATATCCTTGCATTTATCTGAAGCCTCACTCATTTAAACATGACTCCACCCAGAAATAAGTGTTCATTGATATAGATCTGGTTGTAGGAAGGAGGGTTCAGTTATACAGATCCAACTGTAGGATGAGGCTTTGTACTGTCTATAGCTGGAAGTACCTGTTCTTCTAAAAATATACAAAGAAAGCAACAGGATAAAAGACAATGTAAAAATCTGTCTTTTTCTACCTCATGCTGAAGTGGCACAAATCAAATCTCTGCTATAACACTGGGGCTGTTACTGTGCTGAGAGCTAGAAGCACAGCTTATTTTTAAGCTAGCATCATTTCTGTATCTGAACTGTCACACATCACTTGCATGAATTCTGTGTGTTCCTGTCAAGTCTTTCCACTGTAATTGCAATTACTTAATCTTCAATGAATTTATTCATTATTCTGAATGAAGCTAGTGAATCTGAAGTAATTTTTTTCCACTACCCTGCAATGAAGTTTAGCAACAGATACGTCTGAAATTCAGGGAACTTTGAACATGGCAGGACAAATTCAGTTGGTGTAGCATATGCAACTCCAGGAAAGCTACCTATATCTGCTAAATTATGCCAAGTCTGAATTTGGCATGAAAATCTATTACAAACTCAAAATAGACTTTTGTTTACACACATCTAGTACATCACTTGTGAGAAATGTATACTGCTGCTGAAGCTTGTTTGGTGCAGCTCAGGAAAAGAGCTCAAGTTGATTTTAGATACCTTTGCACTTCGCTTGAAGTTAGGAAGCCTTGTGATCCAGTGCCATCTTTCAAATATGAACACTGGGTGTGTTTATACCCATTTCTAACATTTCTAATGTTCACAGACATTCACTGGCAAATAAGACTTAGCATTCTGTGCATGTCAGCTAACCACACAAGCTGATTCTGCAAGCTGGCTGCTCTCTGTACCCACAGAGACTCTTGTCAGAACATTATGGTGCTACTGAGAGCACCTGCAGGAAATAAACCTGCAGCAAATAAAAAGACATATTATGTATTTTTTAAGAAGCCACTCCTAAACAGTATGTTTTTGTAATAAAGAATAGAGTTCTTTTATATTAAATGTTACTTGAAAAAAGTCCCATGTGAACAATACTACTTTAATGGGTTTATTTTTATGATACCATTTTATCCATAGCTGCTTATGCTCTGGTCAGCATGTGGCTTAATAATTACCTATTCCATAAGTAGGAATCAAACATAGAATTGTAAGTAGTCACAGTGTGACTAGACAGATTTTCAAAGTTGAAACCTCCACATTTTTTCTTAATAAATACATTTCCCAAAATCATCTTGATAAATCATCACTTGCTAGAGAGGTTTCCTTTATAAATTTTTAGCTTTTATATGAGCATGATTTCAAATACCAGATGAACCCAAATATTCTTTTTTATTATTTCTCAATGTTGCCTGCACATCTGTGATGGCCAATTCAGTTTGTCCATTTCATCTTCAGTCCACCTTGCATGGCAAAAGAATAAAACAGAAAGTCATGAACCAACCTCCAATGTACCAGCAAATCATGAAGCGTTTTCTACTTCATCTTGTCTTTTGTTTTGGTCTTTTACTTAAGGTCCTATTGAATTAGGTACGCTGATTTTGATCTGATTTCTCCCCTTATACTTGCCTATATGCACTCTCTATCAAATTATGTAGATAATGGCTATGTATCCCTCTCATTAGAGACATATTATGGACATCTGGCTCAATTTCAGTGGAATTGGATAACCTTGCTAATCTGCTACTAATATTTATTTACAAATGCTATACCCCAGTGTATTTCCTCACAATTGTACCTCGAGAAGGTTACGTTTCATGGAATCATATTTCAGAGCCAGCCGGCTACACACCCTTTGCTATAATAGTGCTATGATTGTTTTCCTGAGTTAACTTACTCTGAAATAATACAGCGGATTCATGGGAACTCACTCCTGGGTTTAAAGGAAGAGTTTAAAAGCCTGCAAGGGTGTGAGTCACTAGAATTTTACATTCATTATACCTATAAAACAAGCCATGGTACAGTGGAGGCTGGTAAGAGATAAATCTGCTGGGTTAATCTGCTGAAGTACACAACTGTGTTAGCAGTTTGAGTATTCCTTCAGGAAATTTTACCTGTAGCTAAGGACTAATGATTTGGGAAGTTCTTAATGCCTATGTCATTTTTGGAAGGTCAGCTAATCACTATAAAATGCTCAATCTAAATCTGTTCTCTTCTGAAAATCCTCTATCCAATTTATGTCAGGTGGAGATTCACAGGGAGTAGGGCCGGTTTGTTCTTGTGCAAGCATAGCATTTCATTGCACCACATAAGGAATTGGGGTATTTTTAGAACAGAACTCATAATCCTTAATGTGGAAGACTGTAAAGGCTCTTTAGGTGGCTCCCTGTGCTGTTTCTTCCTAATTTCAGAGACTGGGCATTTTAACAGCTCCTCTGAGCATAATGCCATATTGTGCCCCGGTTCTCTGCTCACTATTCCTTCTGTTATCAGTGGAAGTCCCAGACAAAACTAAAAGAGAACCTTTTCTCATATATACATTGATACTTTTCTTACACATTGTTTAAAAAAATCCATTTCTTTCAGCAAGTCTCTGTTACTTGTGGCTGACTGGTTGTCTGTCTTCTGTGGCTGTGGATTTTCTAAACTCCCTAATTGTTTTGGTTTTGACTGACAGATCCTGTAAAATACCGAAAGTATTATAGAAGACAGTATTGTAGGTCATTAATGGATGCTGCTGATCCCTGATGCTGATTAGTCATGTTAATGTCTAAGCAGAAAAGGCTGTTAATGGAATTATATTGTATTCTTACAACTACTTCATTATATTTTTAATGGACCACAAATACAAAAGAACATACACTTCTTTACTCTAGAAAGGATACACAAAATACATTCAGAATACCTGATATTACACCTTGTGTAGGTTTTTTTTTTCTTTGTTGTAATGTCTAGGACTTGCAGGTTTTTTGTTTCTACTTATTTTCCATTGAAAAAATATTCCAAAAGACACTCTACCTACTAAGAAGAAAATTCAGTAAGGAAAGAGCTTGTTCTGTAAAATAACAAACCAAACAGAAATAGGGACAAACCATATTATTTTAGAGTACGGAGTTGCATTTTAATTATAACCTAATTCTCTTACAGTTATTTTTTAACTTTATTTGAAGGGGTAATAATGACCATTCAAAATACACTTGAGGATGGGAAACAATTATTAGCATAGTTGTTAATATGTGTGATATGCTTTGATACATTCTAGTGGGAAGCTAAATGTCGAACAGCTGTATTTATATGAGTATTACAATATATTATGTTAGTATTCAGTGGAAAATGAGTATTTAAACCAGTCCTCAGACTGTTGACGAGCACCACTAATAGCACCAAGAGAAAGTGGGGAAGTCAGCATGTCCAAAATGTTACAACTAAGGACAGAATAAGACTGCAGCAAGTCTCAAGAGTCAAGGAGTCTTCCCTTTCAAGGAGATATTTTTTGTGGTGACACAAATGGGGCAGTAAATAGGTTACTGCCCACTGAAAGGGCCAGGGCCCTGCCAGGGCAGGAAAGAAGTTGAGCCAGGTTCAGCAGATGGAAAAGGCAAACCTGAACACTCAATTCACTCGGCTGTTAATGCCTCCCCCACTGTCTAGCAGGTTTTCTCTCCAATTTGTTAATAAGGATTGCAACCGCAGCTACCTTTCATAGGCCTGCAAGCATTCTCCTCTCATACTTCACGATCTGGAGACCTGACCGTGGTAGTAAAGCTGTGATTTAGGCTCCTATTGATTAGAATGGCTAAAGATGTTTTTGTGGTCAGGAGCTAACCGATAAATGTTGAGGTCTTGTGGAGTTCTTCAAGACCAAGCTGTGGTACACTGCCTGACTTATTGCTAACGGCAACTTTTCTTCATTACTGATGACTCTGAATTCTAATGCCTAGTGTTACAGGCATGTCTCTGTTTATAGTTCACTTAAACAAAGTGCTCAGAGGCCAACCTAACCCTATTCCTATTCAGGAATTTTCCTGAAATGAACTACAGCTACAAAGACCTCCAGTGTGCTATACAGAAGTGGTGTTGTATTTCTGCTTTGAGACGTTGAATTTTTCCAATTAGTTATGCTAGTGTAATACTTCTGTCTTCAAATTTGTTACAGTAGAAAGCAATTTGCCTCCAAATATGCATATTTATATTCATATAATTGTTTATTTATTCTCCAAATAAAGTGGATGATGGCAATAATTATGTTACTGTTCCCAATCTCCTATTCATCAAATCAATTTTTGAATTCTCAAAAGTTGTTTTCAGCTCAGCCTTACTTTATCCTTCCGACTGAATTATTTCAATTGAAAAAGGACTTTCTGACCCATTCTCACTTCCTGTTCGAAGGCCTGGATAGCGACAGCAGTATGTTAGCAAGTTGTCAACCTGCCCAGATGGTGAATATCCAAGAATGCTGAAAGAGCTTCAGAATAAACAGGCTGATCTGCTAAGAATACACAGTCCTTCATTAAAAATCATTTATGTGCAAAAGAACTGGAAGTAACGAATATCATGTCTATTTTTATAAAAACTTCATGGGATAATCAGTGGAGTTTCAGGCCACTGAGATCCAGATTTATATCTGGTTGAATATCTGAAATAATAATTGAAAACCAAAATGTAAAATTTCAGGAGAAAGTAGGTAACTAAACAAGCAGGACATCATTAAAAAAAAAATCAAAATATCATCCATAGGAAAGAAATGCTTGCAAGGTTTAAGATTAGC